GCAGACGCTTAACGACTGAGCCACCCAGGCGCCCCACTAATCGGCCATTTAAAAAAAAAAAAAAAGGAGGGTGCGTGGGTGACTCAGTGGGTTAAGCAACTGCCTTCGGCTCAGGTCATGATCCGGGAGCCCCGGGATCGAGTCCCGCATCAGGCCTCCCTGCTCAGCGGGAAGTCTGCTTCTCCCTCTGACCCTCCCCCTTCTTGAGCTCTCTCTCTCTCACTCTCTGTAATAAATTAAAAAAAAAACCTCATTTTAAAAAAAAGGGAAATGCTGCCACTTGTAACAATTATCGATATACCTTGAGAGAATTATTTTAAGTGAAATAAGTCAGAGAAAGACAAATACTGTATGATCTCATATGTGGAATCTAAAAACAACAAAAAAACAAAAAACTGAACTCATAAATACAGAGAACAGATTGGTGGTTCAAGAGGGGGAAGGGTGGGAGTTGGTAAAATGGGTGAAGGCGGTCAAAAGGTACAAACTTCCAATTATAAAATAATTTCTGGGGATGCAGGTACAGCATGTTGACTACAATTAATAATACCATATTGTATATTTGAAAGTTACTAAGGTAGTAGGTCTTAAAAGTCCCAGTGACAAGAAAAAAAATCTCTAACTGTGTAGTGATGGATGTTAACTATTAACTACACTGACTATAGTGATCATTTCACAATATATACATATATGAAATCATTATGTTGTATACCTGAAAAAATCACTAAGAGACTTTTTTGTATAACTCTTTGCAAATAACATTTGAAAAACTGAATGCAGTGGGTAATTTTTCTCTGAAAATAAATTTACCAAAACTGAGCCCAGAATAGAGCTTACAAAGGCTAAACAAATCCACTCTGTAGAATATTATAAAGTCATCACAGCTACCTGAAAAATAAATCAGGCCCAGATGGCTTCACAAAGGAATTTTATCAGATTTGTAAGGAACAAATAGTTTCAATCTATTTAAGCTGTTGCAGAAAAAAAGAGAAAATGGAAAGCTTCCAAATTATTTTTATAAAATGGCTATACAGTCATTATGTAAAATGACTATATATATACACACTATATATACACATACACACACATATAAAATAATATATATACACACAATCACTTATAAATTTTGATCAAAAATCCTAAATATTAGCAACAGAACCTAACAGAACACAGTAATATATCATGATTCAATAGGGTTTATTCTAAGAATGGAAAGACAGTTTAAAATTGGTAATCAACTAATTAACATAATTCATTCTATTAATAGATCCAAAAGGAAAGTTGCATGACCATTTTCCACAGATGCTGGGTATTTGATAAGATTCAGCATCCAATCTTAGGGGGACAAGAAAACAAAACAAAACAGAAGTCAATGGACACTTCCTTGATATGGTAAAAACATACTTAATCTCACCCCTAAGCTAGCACCTTACTTAAAAGGGAAACAATGGACATGTCAGGAAACACTGGACATGTCAGCCAAAAACAATTAAGTAAGAAAAATAAACTTGAAGTGTAAGAATTGGGAGGGAAGAGATATAAACTACCTTTACTTGACATATGATTCTCTTAAGTTTCCTTATGCAAATAGGTATGCATGTTTCCTAGGTATGCAAGAACCAGAATTCAATATAGCAATAATAAAAAAATAATTTACATAGTTATGTCATATATGCAAACACCAACCAGTTCATTAAAAATTATAACATAATACTCTCTAATAGCAACAAAATAGAAAATGCCCAAGAATAAAAAGTATTTAAAACCAAGATGAGGAAAATTAAAGCATGCCTTAAAGACACAAAATACACTTGATCAAATATGAATATATACTTTCAGTCAGGACCTAATCAGGAAACTGGAGTACACATTATATATTTTTTTATTATTATTTCTTTTTTAAGATTTTATTTATTTGAGAGAGAGAGCACAAAGCGGGTGTGAGAGGGAGAAGCAGGCTTCCCGTTGAGCAGAGAGCCTGATGTGGGACTCGATCCCCAGACCCTGGAATCATGACCTGAGCTGAAGGCAGCTTAACCGACTGAGCCACCCAGGTGTCCCCACATTATATATTTTAAACAGAAAAAATTTACTACAGGGAACTGGTTACATGGGTACTGGAAGGCAGAAAAAGTAAAAACACTGACACAACTCATACTCTAGGAAGATGCTACCACTCCCAAGGCTAAGGTTACAAAAGGTGAAGTTATCTGAACCTCCTCTTAGAGAAGGAGCCTGCAGAGCTCTTGTTCAGGCCTCTGAGGTAATCCCCATCCCATTCCTGCTGTTACTATTTCGGAGGAAGTATGGTGAGCCTGGTTCTGGGTGTGCCGAAAGGCTCTGGCATGCCGCAGCCAAGAGCCAGCCCCGGCTGCTGGAGGGGACTACCATTAGCAGAAGCAATGCAGACAGATAAAAACCCAGATCCTTCACCCCACCATCCACCACAAAGGCAAAACTAACAAGCCAGAGGCAAGAGTCTGGGGAATGAGGTTTGTAAAACCTGAGACCTACCACCATAGAGCATAAAAGGGTAAATTTTGAGTTGAGAGAAATCAGCTAAATAGTAGGTCCAGGTGACCCTTTTGGCTATTTAGTATACACATTTGAACTTGCATAAAATGACATTAACTATTTTTCATGGTTCCCTCCAATAAGGTGGAACTATCCTTTATACAAATGAAGGCACTTTTATCCTCTCCCCCAAAAGGGAGAAGCAAAGTCCCAAGAATAATTGTATCTATCTCTGGGTGATGTTAAGACCATTCCTAATGATATCACAATTCCTTAAGAACTTAATGTTTAAACTACAAAGTTTGTTTTTTTTTTAGTAAACTCTACCCACCACATGGGGCCTGAACTCACAACCCCAAGATCAAGAGTTGCATGCTCATAGTGACTACACCAACCAGGCATCCCTAAACTACAAAGTTTATTTTTGGACATAAAACAGGCATACCCCAGAGAATTCCCTGGGTTCCAAATATAGCCCTCTCTGTACCTGTTTTGTAACAGCAACCAATTTCCCCTTGGTACTCAGTCCATTGAGTACCCACTCCTTTGCTTGCTGGTTCAGTAGCCTGAGGAATCCCAAATGGCCAGGTGATAGTCTCATATTCTTATAGTCAGTTATCATGTCCCTTGGTGGAAGCACATCATCTATGAAGGTCTGATTCTTTGTGGAGCTCCCCTGCTACCAAATACTCGTTAGTCCAGTCAGAAAAACAAAAACACACAAGGCAGTCAAAAAAGAGGGCCTTTACTACAGAGAATTCCTTCCTGAGGTATTAGAGGACTAGAAGAGCCAGTGCTGAACACTAAGTGAATGCAGGGACAACAGTAAGTGACAGCTACCATCTACAGGGAAGAGGTGAGGCGATTAGAACCTTGAAACTTGGAGAAAATGCCCCCAGAATTGCCACTCTGTTTGTGAGGAAAGGCGCCACTTTCCTGCGAACGTCAAGGCAGGCTTCACAGAAGCAGTGATGGTTGAGATGGGTTTTTTTGAAGGATGAGTCAAGTTTACTAGGCAGACTATTTAACCCATAGTACTACCACATCTGTTATTACAGGCCTGGTCATTCAGAAATATTGCATGGCCTACCACTTTAACACCATATTAAAAGTGCAAGTGAATATGTCAAAACGTGAATGCTATAATGTGGCCAAAATAAAACTAGCAAGATGGAAAGCCATCCTTTCCTACTTATGCTATGTTGGTTTAAAAGCAGACAATGTCTGATAGTTTCTCTGACCAGAACAGCACTCAGTGTACAAACCTAGGCATCACCATCCTCTCTGGGCAAAGTAATCAGAATCCTTATAAAGGGATCAACTTTGGTACTTCAAATCATCGCTGGAGCAGGGCAGTATCGTACTGATTTACTGAGAAGACTTTGGATCTGGGGCGCCTGGGTGGCTCAGTCGTTAAGCATCTGCTTTCGGCTCAGGTCATGGTCCCAGGGTCCTGGGATCGAGGCCCGCGTCGGGCTCCCTGCTCTGCAGGAAGCCTGCTTCTCCCTCTCCCACTCCCCCTGCTTGTGTTCCCTCTCTCGCTGTGTCTGTCAAATAAATGAAATCTTAAAAAAAAAAAAAAAAAGACTTTGGATCGTATCAGGATGCAAGGTCTCCTTTTTTTTTTTTTTTAAAGATACATTTATTTATTTACTTATTCAGGAGAGAGAGCACAAGCAGGGGGAGCGGCAGGTAGAGGGAGAAGCAGAAGCAGGCTCCCCACTGAGCAAGGAGCCCAATGCGGGACTCGATCCCAGGACCCTGGAATCATGACCTGAGCAGAAGGCAGATGCTTAACGACTCAGTCACCCAGGCGCCCCTCCTCTTTCCTTTTTTTTTTTTTTTTAGTGCTGTCCCTATTTTCTATATTACATAAGAGTGCATTTTTTCTAAAGTTGGGAAAAAGTTATTTGGACACTAAAAAGGAAGCGAGTGGTAGTGAGGACAAAACACAGGAAGAACTCTTTAGGAGCAGAGACAAACGTAGCAACAATTTTCTGTTATGAGGAACTTATTCTGGGGTCTGTGGGCAGACTGGAGTGCACAGATTGATGCAGTAATGCTGAAAAGGGGACCAGGGACTGTTAGGTAAGACTGCAGGGGTCTGGCTTTGAAGCAGCTGGGAGGGCAAATACCCACAGATGTGCTTGAAGTACATCTGCCTCATTACACAACAGAAGTACAGAAAAGAACAGTTCAGCTTTAGCCTAGTGAAGAACAGAGAACGTGAGAAATTCAGCTGGAGAGGCAGAGGGGAAGAGGCAGTGAAACGAGAATAAGCTGATTTTTAATTTAAAAAACCCGTAACTCTGGTGAACAGTTCTAACACCAAGTCCTCTCAAATGAATCTGCTGATGCACAGATCTTAAAGCCAGGAAGGGCAAAACTCCAGTAGGGCTCAAAACCACAGCCCTGGGGAGACTAGTTTAAGATTTTCAACCCCACGATGCTCAAGTGCCAACGATGCTTGTCCTCTGACTTGACAGGAGATTCAAAGTGCAAAGCAGATGAAAAAGTGGAAAGAGAGGCTTGAGAAAAAGTATTATTCTGCAGAAATTCAAGATGACTACCAGCCTGTCACTCAACAGGAATTTCGAGAGTAAGTATATGTTCTAACCAGGGCACTGTGGGATATCATGATATGGGGACCGGGGCCATGAGTTACATTATTTTCCTGAAACCAGACCTTATTCTGTTGAATATGGTCATCTTTTTAACCCAACTTTGAAATTAAACAGAAAGCACAAGACTCTATTTGTTTAAATGTAAGGTGAGAGTGGAACCAATTGCTTTTATCCTTACATCTCCAAATAGGAACTGCCATTTAGATTTGATATGCATAGCAAACACTGTTCTCCAGTTTTAGAATATAAGATCCAAACTTGGCCACGCTAGGCATGTTTTAGAAGCTTAAAATACTATCTTCCCACTCCCAAGTACTTAACAATAGGTACTAATAACGTGCTGACTCTTTATGCACAAAGGTATGTTACTCATTCTCTGCTTCCTTCTAAATTGTCCTCTAGACTCTTTTTATATGCCGTGGAGCTGGAGAAAGAATTACACTATGTCAGTCTAAAACTAAACCGAGTGATGAGAAAGATTTCAACTCTACAACCTTGAGAGAAGTGCAGGTGAGAACCTGTGATATAATCATTGAGTATTTCTAACAAAGATTTATCCTTGTACTGAATTATTTCCTAAACATGTCCCCATTACAGGTACACTTTAAAAACACTACACCACCTATCAGCAAACTATCGTCAGTCAATGATGATCTCAAAAGATTTCCAGAAATTAAGTGCCCCTGAACAGGACCTACTGTACAATCCACATGTATTACAGCACGCATCCAGGGTACACACGCAGTTACACATAAAGGATTTATGAGATTTATTAAATTCTCGCAATGTGAAGATAAAGTACAAAATAATGCTGCTTATGGTTCATGGGGAAGGTCTCTAATAGGTCACTAAGTAGGTAAAGTCAGTTTTCTCAATGTTACCTAGAGTATAAAAACTGTTGGTGCTTTCATCATATACCATGTTCTAACTTCTTCTGGCCATAGATAAATTAATAAATACTTAGGATTTTGGAAAACCATTATATAAGACCCCAAATAAAATAATCTCACCTCCATTCTTTCCAGTTTGAGGTCACCTAGAAAAAGCTAAAATGTAGAAGAACAAACTTCCCAATCACCTACAGAAATTTCACTAATATTTTCAAACTGGAAATTCATCTAGAAAGTTCCTAAAGTAACACACATTTAAAGTTTCCTAAAAGTGTTTCCTCACCAATCTAAAAGCAAAATATACTTTAAAAAACAAAGAGCAAGGTAGGAGTATCAGGGTTATGAGAAGTCAACTTAATGTATGAGAAGTAGGAATGACAGCACTGCAAAAGCTGTCTGGGTGGTTGGAAAGTTGTGTGAAGTAGTAACTCTTTTAATTTCTTTAGTGGGTTACATATGCCCTCCTACAAGAGCCATATGTTCTCTTGGCACAAACACCATCATCTGACCATAGTACTCAACTTCCACATTGATGCTCAATAGATTTTAAATCTACCCGCCTCCCTGAGGCCAACCTCTTCTCTTAGAAAACTGTACCTCAAGTTTGCTTAGTAGGATAATTCACTGCAACAAGAAATGCTGACTGTTCTCCCTGCATCTTCTCCCTACATTTCCACAAGGCAATCAACAACATGGCCTTTCCTTGTCTTACCAATCCCCAGAGCTGTAGCCAGCCAAGTGGTTTAGCAACCCTGTTGTCCCCCAACATGGTCCCTCATTGAGGTAACTCAAACAAAGCCTAAGAACATTAAGGCAAGGGAACACTTAAGGTCTTTTTCTTTTTGAACATCTAGTGAAAACAAAACAAAAAACATTTATATTGACTTGGAACATTCGAGTTCTTTTATTACAAAAGTCTATACAATGAAGTGCCAGACACAGCAATGCAATTATATTGGTGGTGATATATATCTATATATTATTTGTATATAGATATACAGTTTTTACTTGTACCAAAGTAAAACTATCACAAACTGCCTAATTCTACCACCTACTGCTCAACTCTGACACACAATACTGTCACATAGCGTGTTCAGTGCTGCCATGCCACTTGTATCTACTCTACCTGCAGCCAAACATGAACAGTGAGTAACCAATACCATGAAGCAGCTGTTAATTCTAAAATGAAACCAGTCAGGCCACTGACTTATAAAAATATGGTACTCATATAGATTTAGCATTATAAAGAAGGAATATATTATTTAAAACATTTAAATAGTGCATATGGACATTTTTGCATGTGGTATATAAAACATTCATATAAAACAATATACAGTGCACATTAAATTAGATGTTTGGATATACTCCCTCCCATCTGGAGACTGAAAGAAATTAAATGCACACTGCATGCTGCATTCAAATCAAAGTGATACTTCTTTTGGCATTTTCAATTTCATTTTTCTAGGTATACATTATGAATAACCTAGCTGTATCAAAAGGAAACCACACGAAAAGGGCTGGATTTAGTGCTTTATTCCCCAACTACATGTTCACCATCAGTGAACATTCCCTCCCCCCCAAAAAAGGCATTGCACACACAGGTGAAATGTGAAATCCTAGAAACACTACTTATTATCAAGCTACTTCATGTGCTTACTATGTAATAGTGCCAGAAGTCTGAGGTTCATGCTTCCCTCACTTGATTAAAGAATGTTGCGGAAGTCCCATTTTTATATGGAACTGTTAATATCAGCTAGTTAAGAAAACCATGCATGAATCAATGCATGCAAAACATGGGCACAAAGTGAGACACTCATCAATCCAAAAAAGCACCAGGAAAAAAATTAACACTTACATTAAGCCTGACCAGAATATGCTGTTATTGACTATATTCTTAGCTCAAATAAAGTCACCAATCTGTGAAAATGATTAGCAGATACCAGAAGAGTACTTGAAGAAAAGCCATGCAAAGCCAAAGAATAAAAGATAAGCTTAGATTATATGACAAGGGGCATACCACTACACAACTGCTTTAAACAGCATGTGATTGAGGAAAAGGGCTCCTGTTAGAGGATGTTTTCTTTATGGATTTTGATTTAAAAAAAAAAAAAAAATGATGCAACCCCCGGAAGGTACACGTAAAAGTGCAGTGGTATAGCCCTTGTGAAGAAAAGATTTAATGCAGGCGTAATGATTCTTTTGCCAACTTAGGCCCATCTGACTGAACACACAAATCTGAGCACCATCAGTGTTCCTACATAGACATGGCTACTTTCTCACATTATCTGGAGGTGGATACGGGGAAAAAATACAGGATCTGATCCAGACAAATCACATCATCACCAGCTAATAAACAGTAACTGAGGAAACAAACAGTAACTTATGTCCCGTAGGCAGCATGTGATATGATTCAGTTCTGTGTATGATGTGTGGTGTGTGTTTTCACTATACTAATAAACAAGGTCACTTTTAGGTCTACCCTCTGTTATCTTCATCCAGGAGCTGTGTGACCACTGAATTGCAAAATTTTTCTAACATACTACGTGTGAGAAAGTGTCACTTTGGAAATTAAACAGAAATGTGTTCCACAGTAGGACTTGAAATTTCAGTTGATTTTGGTTTTCTAAGAAAACATAGGACATAGTTGCATATGTGCACATTTATAGGCTTTTCTTTCAAATTTTCAGTCATTCTGTAAGAAAAAGGCAACCGAAGAATTCAATGTGAAGATGTTCCTCTCAATTTTCTTCAGTAATTAAAAAAAAATAATAAAAATAAAGTTGGTGATAACAAAAAGCTTGTATCTCCAAAGTTCTTGAAGTTGAAAGAATAAAGTACTAGTCTTTTGCTAACAAGATGTATCTGTAGTACAAAACAATGAAGAAAACTGGATGTTTGCTAAAGGTGGAGAGGACAGTCTGTGGTTAATATGGAACACCACGCTCCCTAGAGAGGGTCTACTTACCCTCCCATCTTTCTCTAGTGGCACCACAACCAAGTACAAAATGATACTCTCGGAGTGCCTGACAAAATGAACTCAAGTACCAGCCAAGTACACACGATGACAGCTTCAGGGAATACAACTGATTTTTATGATGTTTTCAAGGAGCATATTTTTATATGGATTTTGAAGAATCTTGTTTGCTGATAAGAACTTCAAGAAGCCTGAGTTTGGCTTTAATTTTCTTGTACTCCTTGTACTCCTCAAGCACTGGAACACGATCCTCTTTCTGGGCATTCCTAGGGTAGAAAATAAAATCTGTAATATTCTAGAGATCATCTGAAAAATAAAATCCCAGAAGATGTCCTAATGTGAGACACAATGTTACCAAATATAAATTCAAATAAAAAATTCCTCTGCAAGAAAAAAGATTACTGGACTAGTTCCCCCCATCCCCAAGGAACATTCCTAAAATACTTCTATTTTTGATGAATTTCTCTATTGACAGATTAAATAATGCTATACTTAACAAGGATCATTGCAGAAAACTAGGAAGTAACCAAACATTTTAGTAAGATATGCACTGCTAGACTCTGTCAGGTCTGTAAGTGTACATTAAGTGCCAGAGGGTTACAACCAGTCATTTCATACATTTAGAAGGTATTTGAAAAATGCATTCTTACACTTCGATTTTTTTTTAACTTTTTTTTTAAAGATTTTATTTATTTATTCGAGAGAGAGAGAGAGAATGAGAGAGAGCACGAGAGGGAAGAGGGTCAGAGGGAGAAGCAGACTCCCCGCCGAGCAGGGAGCCCGACGCGGGACTCGATCCCGGGACTCCAGGATCATGACCTGAGCCGAAGGCAGTCGCTTAACTGACTGAGCCACCCAGGCGCCCTTTTTTTTTAACCATTTTGCCAACTATATAGAAGACTCTCAAAGTAAACACATTTTGGAATTTGTAATACAGCTACTGGCTTGGTAAGACTACCCAGTTACATATATGGAAAAACTTTTCTGAGGCCTGAGATAACGCTCATTTTTGGCCACCATCTGAATTAGAATGTATTTTCCTTTAACAAAAAAAAAAAGTGTTACTTTTAAAAGAGTTCTACTGGGTCAGCTGTGTCTCAGATAAAAGCACATGCCGTACTGTATTCTAGAAGCCCACTGTTGATCGGCACCGTTACATGTTTGAAATGGGAATGGCCCAACATGTAGCCTAAGCAGCAACAGTCTCAGTCTTAAGAATCCACACTAGCTGAGAATACCAGTCACGTTATAGCACCCTTTCTAAGAGGAAAAACAGGGGCGCCTGGGTGGCTCAGTCAGTTAAGCATCCAACTCTTGATTTCAGCTCAGGTCGTGATCTCAGGGTCATGAGATGGAGCCCCACATTGCACTCCACGCTCAGCGGGGAGTCTGCTTGAGATTCTCTCTCCCTCCCTCTGCCCCTCCCCCTTCTCTCTCTCTAAAATAAATAAATCTTTAAAAAGAATAAAAAATAAAAATAAAAGGAAAACATCTTATTTCACAAAACACTTCCAAAAAGATGAGAATGTAGAATTCAAAAACACAATGTAACTGCCACTCAACCAAGCCTCCTAGGACAACTCTGAAATATGCTATCAGATGTTGCTTATTCTACCTCTGACTTTTTCTTGCCGTTAATAGATTACAGGCCTTCAAACTAAAAGGTATGTTTTCTACTTTTATTTTCAATGGTAATATCCTTACGTGCACAATTTATTTCTACTCCTATACATTCCTTTAATTTAGCATATGGGCACCTGTAAGTTCAAGGAGAAAGAAGACTTAATTTTGTGATGTTCAACAAACCTTCCATTCTGTTGATAAAATGCTTCTTCAAATTCCCGTAACGTTTTGCGTAGTTTCTTTTTTTCAGCTCTGGCTTTCCAAAGTTGTTCCAGTAATTCAGGCCTAAAATTTAAATGGGAAGAAAACATTACTGAAAGAGCACTGTGGTTCTTAGCAGGGGCTCAAACCCTGGCTGCAAACTAAAGTCAGCTGGGGAGCATTTAGAATCTACCAATGCCTAATCTGCAGCCCAGACCAACTAAATGTACCAATAGCTACAGGTAGGGCTCTACATCAGTATTTGGTGGGGAGGCGATTTTTTTCCCCAGGTGACCTTAAAGTGAAGCCAAGGCTACTGTGGAAAACAATATGGAGGTGGCTCAAAAAATTAAAAACCATATGATCCAGTATTTCCACTACTGGGTATCTACCCAAAGAAAACAAAAACATTAATTCAAAAAGATCTATGTACCCCTATGTTTACTGCATCATATTTACAACAGCCAAGATATGGAAGCAGCCCAAGTGTCCATCAACAGATGAATGGATAAAGAAGATGTGGTGTCACATACACATACACACACACATAATTATGGAATATTACTTGGCCATAAAAAAAAAAATGAAATCTTGCCATTTCCAACAACATGGATGAACCTAGAGGGTATAGTGCTAAATGATTTAAGCCAGAGAGGAAAAAAACAAAATCTGTATGATTTCACTTACATGTGGAATTCAGAAAATAAAACAGTCTCATTAAAACATGGAACACACTGGGTAGCTGTGAGGGAGGGGGCTGGGTGGGGGGGCTGGGTAAAATAATTGAAAGGGATAAGGAGGCACAAACTTCCAGTTATAAAGTAAAGAAGTCACAGAGATGAAAGGAACAGCACAGGGAATATAGTCAATAATACTGTAGTAACAGTGTATGTGATTCCATGTATTGTGGTGAGCAATGAGTAATATATAGAATTGTTGAATCAACAATGCTGTATACCTGAAACTAATATAACACTATATGTTAATTATACTTTAATTAAAAAAAAAAAAGTGAAGCCAGGGCTGAAGACCACCATCATACACCGTTATCAGGGAAAGAAACTGATAAACATAACTCTCAGCTGGTTCCAGCATTCTGTTACGAAACAAATGTTGGATTTTAGTTTCTTTAATTTTTAAAACACACTAATGTTTAATAAAGAAAATGTGAATGACAACATTTGTAAATCACACCCTTTAAGAAAGGTATATCTCTTGAGCACATATTAATTCCCTCCAAGTGCTTGATTATTTAACACTGAATTTCTCAGCATGTAAATTTCATTATACAAATAGATTTAAAAAAAAAAAAATCACAAACCAGCATACATACATAGAAGCTGCTCGAGTACTTGACAATCGAAGATCCAGAGCCAGTTTTTCTTGATTTTCTTCAACATCAGATTCAGAGTTTTCCAATGAAGACTGTGCCTGTACAGCAGTTTTCAAGATATCAGTTAGCTCAGAGGACAGGGTAACACCATCTTCTTCTTCTTCCTAAAAAGATATCAAACAGATAATCAAATAGGCCATGACTCTCAACTTTTTCTTTCAGAGAATGATTTCTCTTAAGGATTACCTTGATTTCTTCAAAAAAATGGGCAGTTTCTCCCTCTATGATTGGTTGTAACATCTGACCCCTTCGCTTGGAAGATGGAGATCCCTGTAACAATCAACATGGTTTCCACTTTAAATATTTAAAGCATTCAAAGAAAGCTTCATTCACTATGGAACAGATACTTAACTTCATTTTCAAAATCTTAACCATACCATTTAAAATTTTTTAGGAATTCCTTAGTAAATTCATTTTTGCTTATGTTTTGTTATGTATGCACACGAATTCTAAATGATCATTTATGTCTGGATAGTCTAAAAGAGCTCATTCAATGAATAAAAAATAAAGTATTACATGTAATTTTATTCAGAACATTTTTCTTTTTAACAAGAGCTGTCAACTTTTTTAGTCTCAGGACACCTTTAAACTCCTTTTTAAAAAGTAACAGCTTCACTGAGATATAATCCACATACCATAAAGTTCACTCCTTTAAAGTGTACAATTGAGTGGTTTTCAGTATATTCACAAGGTTGTGCAACCATCACCTCTAATTCCAAAATAGCTCATCACCCCAAAAGAAACTCTGTACTTAGTAGCTATTAACTCATTTGCCCTCTCCCCCTACCCCTTGGCCAACTAATCTACTCTACCTTAATGGGCTGGCCTATTCTAGGTATTTCATAAATGGAATCATACAATATGTGGCCTTTTGTATTTTGCTTCTCTCGCTTAGCATGTTTTTAAGGTTTACCCATGTTGTAGCATATATCGGTACTTTCATTCCCTTTTTAAGGCTGATATTCCATTATATGAATATACCACATTTTGTTTATCCATCAGTTGCTGCACATTTGGGGTTTTTTCTACTTTTTAGCCATTATGAATGATGCTGCTATGAATATTTGTGTGTAAGTTTTCATGTAAACATGTTTTCAGTTCTCTCAGGCATATACCTAGGAGGAGAAGTGCTAGGTCAGATGAGAACCCTGTTTAATCCTTTGAGGAAGTGTCAAACTATTTATCAAAGTGGCTGCACCATTTTACATTCATCAGCAGTGTGTAATGTAAGCATTCCAACTTCTCCACATCCTCACAACACTGTTATCTTTTCTCATTAAAGTTTTCCTAGTGGATATAAAGTGGTATCTGAATGTGGTTTTTATTTGCATTTCCTAATAACTCATGATGTTGACCATCTTTTCATATATTTAATGGCCATTTATATATCTTCTCTGGAGAAATGTGTATCAAATCCTTTGCCCAATTTTTTTAAATATATATACACATATATACATATATATATATTTTTAAAGATTTCATTTACTGGGGCGCCCGGGTGGCTCAGTTGGTTAAGCAACTGCCTTCGGCTCAGGTCATGATCCTGGAGTTCCAGGATCAAGTCCTACAACTGGGCTCCCTGCTTAGCAGGGAGTCTGCTTCTCCCTCTGACCCTCCCCCCTCTTGTGCTCTCTCTCTCTCTCATTCTCTCTCTCAAATATTTTTTTTTTTAAGATTTCATTTATTTATTTGACAGAGAGAGACACAGCGAGAGAGGGAACACAAGCAGGGGGAGTGGGAGAGGGAGAAGCAGGCTTCCCGCCGACAGGGAGCCCGATGTGGGGCTCAATCCCAGGACGGGATCATGACCTGAGCCAAAGGCAGACGCCCAACTACTGAGCCAC